GCTGCCTGTTGGCCCGATCCCAGGCCAGCGCTCCCGGTCTGTAGTCAGGAGGAGGAAAAGGGAAGGGGGGCGGTTTATAGGAGAGAAGCACGGGGCCTGGTTCGGAGGCAGGCCTCCTCCTAGACCCCGCCTGGGCCAAGGGGGCAGATCCTTTCAGCTGCCCCGCTCAGCACACTCGCTTGGAGCCCGCCTTTGCCCGAGGACGACAGGCCCAAGTCAGCCAAAAACCCGCTTTGTCCAAATTTCCAGAGCCTCCTCGCAAAGTGCATTTTCCGGTTTCCATTCCTGGCGTTTCCAGACTCTGGGATGATCTCGCCTGGCTGTAGAACCTCTTCTTGCCTGCTCCCGGAGAGGGGAGGCCCCACCCACCCCTAGGAAAAGCCGCAGGGCCCCTTCCCTTGGCAGCCCGAGCTGCTGCGTCCTGCCCCGGCTGTAATTCCCTTTCCATCTCGGCCTGCAGGTCCGGCCACCACCTTCTGGTGGCCTCCCAGGAAGCAGCAGTCCCTGGGACAAGATGGGGGATTGCAGGACACCGACGTGGGTTCAGACCCAGGCCCAGTGATGGAGCGGGAGCCCTTGGGCAGACCAGCGGGCCCAAGCGTGGCTGTTTGATTTCCTGCAGTCTTTCTCACCCGGACTGGACTGCAGACACCCAGCAGTGGGATGGATGTGGAATAGCTGGTCATCCCCACGTGACTTTTGCCAGTTGTTTGCCCTGACTCTGTCCACTTAACCCAGATGAGCCTAGGCCTGGGATGCGGGGAGGCGAAAGGAGAAACCTGGGCCTTATAGCTGGCAGGATGTGGGCACATTTTTTTCCCTCTAAAGATAAAGAGCTCTCCTAACAGTGGCACTCGGCATACACCTCAGTGTGTCTCTAGACGGCTCGCTGTGGGCAGGTGTGGGCCCGCCGTGAAGCCCGTCGGTTTCCTGGGGGAACGGAATCGTATGTGCGAGCGTGTCTTCCTGGTTCTCTCCTTACGGTCCTCCAGGCCTCCGTGGACAGGGCTGTGTCTTGTGGAGTTGTCGGAAGCCACATGTTCTGCACGGTGTCAGGCGACAGCATTTCCTCACCTCGTTTCTTTTTCCTTCTCCCGCTCGCTCGCTCGCTCGCTCGCCCTTTTATCACCATCCCAGGGCTTCTCTGTCGTCCCTCTGCCTGTCTTCCTCCTCTGCCCTGTCCCTGTCCCTATCCCTGTCCCTGTCCCTGTCCACCTTCCCTCCTTCCAGCTTCGGGCCCAGGTGGGCTCTCTCTCTCTCTCTCTCTCTCTCTCTCTCTCTCGGTGTTCCTCCCTGTTTTTCTATCTCGGTGGCCCGCTCGGCTCTCCTCTCTGGAGGGCATGTGTGTCCTCACGACGCAGAAGCTGGCATGCCGGGATCTTTATTTTAGAAACGTTTCAGTGAAAACTGTTGCTGCCTTTGCCTGAATCCTCCACGCGCCACGATAAAAGCGAGAGAGAGCAGCCTCTGTCACAATGACAGGGCGAGCGGGCGTCCCTTTCACCAACCCCAGAGCCCATGCGAGTTTTAAAAACCTGACTTCTGGCTGCTTGGTTTTCCTCTCCAATGGGGAAAAGACCTTTTCTCTTTTTAAAAATTTTTTTTCTGCTTCTCCTTAATTTTTCACCCCCTTGTCCTTAAATTTCCTCGTGGCCAGCAAAGCTGGCTCCCTTTGGCTGCGTTGCGTTTCCTCTCGGTCCCTCTCCTTCCTGGGTGACTGGCCTGTCCCCTCACTCTCTCCTCTTGCACCCTAGGACTTGCCAGTGACTCAGACCCAGAGAAGCCTTGAATTGTCTTAGGTGGTTTTTTTTTTTCTTTTTTTTTCTTTCCTCTCCCTTGGCTCTGGTCCTCGGTGCTGGGTGGCGGAGTGGTCCGATTTGGGGGAGGGGGAGGTGTGGAGAAGGGGTGTAGGGAGAAGGGTAGAGGGCTGGGACCTGGACAGGTAATCTTCCAAAGGGAGCCTCCACTCTCTGAACAAAAGGGGGACAGTCCCCTTTTGTCTGGGGCTCCTGAGGGGCGTGTCTGGGCCGGTGGCCCCACCAGTGGCACGGAGAGGGGGTGTGCTTGGAGTGCTTCTAATGGAACCTGAGCAATTCTCCTCTGTGTGAACCCACAGGGGAGGGGACGAGGGTGGGGAGGGAGGGAGGGAGGGAGGCCGGCCTTCTACTCCTCTTTCCCGAGCCTTCGGAATACCCTAGCCCTGCCCGGCTCCGCCCAGATGGGCCTCCCCGCCGGGAGCCAGCAGGCCCTGCAGGGAGCAGGGCGAGGGGAGAAGCCGCCTGAGAATCCTCTGTCTGCCCACCTTCAGGGTTATGGCTGCGGCCAGGGGAGGACAATGAGTGCTTGTTCTCCCCTGGGCAGGGCCTGT